AAGTTTCACTCTGAGTAGATACTTGAGTCACTCTCTTATTTTATCCTTTCATGGGATGGGCATATCACTGGCTAGGTCAACATTTATTGCTAGCTCCAGTTGCCCTCAATGGTGAACTGTTTCAGTGGGTTTAGGTACATCAACAGTACTGTGAGGAGGTGATTTGTAAAATTTTGACATTGCAACAATGAAATCATTTTATTTCCAATTCAGAAACATGTGTGACTTGTGGGGGACTTGCAGGAGATGGTGCTGAAAAAAGAAATTACTGTAGTGCATCTTATAGATGGTCATAGGTTGGCAAAGGTTATGAAGGGCTGTGGAGGTGGGTACAGGGTTGTGCTAACATGGAGGTCGAAGGGACTATCAGGGGTGACTACAGGGCATTAGGTAGTAATGGTGAGGGGATGAGAGCAGGAGGGATATTTTTATTTTTCTTAACTTTGAACAGTGGCAGAATCCTTGCGCAGTGTTTCTGCCTCGTTCAGGAAATGGCAGGCTCCTTTCCTAATATCTTGTCCAGCTTAATGCCCAATCCACCCTGCTCCCCAGACTCAAATTTGGAAATGTGGGTTGCCATTTTCAAAGATCAAGTTTGTGAAGCTAGAATTTCTCCCACTTCTGTGCATCCAACCCTGGAATGAAAATGAGGTCCTCAGAATGAGTCATCAACTGGAACCCACATGTTTTTGACATCAATCTTCCCACAATTACATGGTTTTGTTCCATACATGAGCAAGATCATTCCTATAAGAAATAACCTGCCTTGATATGGCTTTCATGATAATCCAAATCACTTTACAACTAACAGGGCATTGTCGGAGGAATTATGGCAATAACTTTGAACACAGCAAGATCCTGCAAACGCCAATGTGATCAAATTATCTATTGCAACAATTAAGATTGAAGAATATGCAATGACATCAGAGAAAATTTTCTCTGCTGTTCTTTGAGTATGTGTACTGAGGTTCTACACACCCATTTGAGAGGGCAGACAAAGGCTTCTGGCTAACATCTCATTTGAATCATACCGACTCCGATAATACAGCGAGTAGTAAAAAAGGAGCCGACTAAGATTGCATATTCTAATCTTTGTACGCAACCCATAACATTCTGACTCATATTATCCACATAAATATACCTGAGGTCTATTTACTCCCAGGGAATAAATTCACTTGTGGAGTCAAAAGCTGTACAGCATGGAAACAGGCCATTCAGTCCACCTTGTCCATGCCAACCAGACTCTAAACCCTTCCTATTCATATAACCATCCAGATGCCTTTTAAATGTTGTAATTGTACCAGCTTCCACCATTTCCTCTGGTAGCTCATTCCATAAATGCACCACTGTCTGCGTGAAAAAGTTGCCCCTTATATCCCTTTTAAATCTTTCCCCTCTTGCCTTAAACCTCTGCCCTCTAATTTTCTACTTCCCTACCCTGGGAAAAAGACCTTGGCTATTCACCCTATCCATGCCCCTCATGATTTTATAAACCTCTATAAGGTCACCCCTCAGTGTCCAATGTTCCAGGGAAAAAAGTGCCAGTCTTTTCAGCCTCTCCCTATAGCTCAAACCCTCCAACCCCAACAACATCCTTGTAGATCTTTTCTGAACCCTTTCAGGTTTAACAACATCTTTCCTATGTAAAGCATCATTATCACACCACCACTATTTGTGTGGTGAATAAATGGATGAGAAATCATCGTTATTACTTATAATAATTTTTAATATTTTTTTCAAATCAGTTTGGAACCTAGTTGTGAACTAGACAGACCTCTCTAAAGAATAGAAGCATTCTAAGTTGTGTACGTTAGATAGATTTTTGATCAACAAGGAAGTCAGTGGTTGTGGGAGGTGGGGCGCAGACAGCAGAAGTTGCATTAAGGGTATAATCACAAGTCATGTTTATTTTATGTCCAAAAATATTTCATTTATAACATTTTAATATATAAAAATATAGAAATGCATTACAAAACATTGACTTAAATATTACAGAAATTGCAATAATTCAGCTTGTCTCATTACAGCATTTTCAACTCAATATGATTATTAATAGTCTTACTATATACTGATACACATTTCATGAGATATATATGCTGCCAGAGGACACAACATTTTGGAAATTACAGAAATTGCAAAAAGTTTTTATCTATATAGGATGTTTGGCTGAGATAGCTTTATAAAATTTAAAAACTCCTTAATGCCTGTCTCATTTGAATGTTAGCTGTTCTGAGGGGACTAAATTGCCTATTCCTGCTCCTAATTCTTCATATTCTTGCATTTCTTGACACCTACCCAAAGAGGAAAAAAAAAGATAAAACTTGCATACTGGTCTGACTCAGCTTGTAAACTTCAGTTATGAAGATAGATTTGGAGAATTTGGGATTATTTTCCTTGTAGCAGAGAAGACTGAAGGGAGATTTGATTGATGTATTCAAAATCACAATGAATCTGGATAGAGGAGGAAGAAACACTTCTCGCCCACAAATGAATTGAGAATGAGAGGGCACAGTTTAAGTGTTTTGCAAAAGAAGCAAATGGCAGGAGACAAAGAAGGAAAGACAAAACAAAATTGTGCAGCAAGTGACCAGAGTTTGGAACGCACTGCCCATAGTATGGTGGAGTCTTTTTCAATGGAGATATTCAAGAGAGTATTGGAATAATGACTCAAATAGGAACAATGTGAAAAGTTATGGACAGTGTTGCCAGTCTTAAATCTATGTTTATTTTGGTCCTATGTTTCTAAGTTATCCTGTTCAAAGTCTAGGTTTTTAAATGTGTATGTTTATTCATCGAGGTCAAAAATCACATGACACCAGGTTACAGTCCAACAGGTTCATTTGAAAAGACAAGCTTTCGGAGTCTCTCTCTCTTTCTTAGGTGCTCGTGAGAGACGGACTTCAGAATCCACAACATAGCTGAGTTGCTGAGCAGAGGCTGATAGCCAAGTCTGGTACCAATGAGGATGGCCTCAACCAGGATCTTGGGTTCATGCTGCTCTACAGGTGACCCCACCACACTGTACACTCTCACACACACTCACAGACATATGCACATACACGTGCGCGCGTGCACACACACACACACAAGTCTATCAGGTCAATTTGCATTTCCAGATTTATATTTGCAGATACATTCTGCTTTGTTCAAAAAGCAAGTCGAAACACAGATTCAAAACAGGGCCTCACACCTAACATGCATTCAGAGATAGTAACATGCATTGTCTGACATGAGATGTCACCTGTTCTTTGATAAAACCTTTACTTATTTCTAGGCAGAAATTTGGGATTTGCATATTAATGAATTGAAACGTATCTCCTTTCTAACTGATTAATGATTTAACAGCATCTTAGGTCTGTTTAATTTGCTTCAGTGTATGACCCTTTGATCTTTTACTAATAAATTCTGTGTCTTTTTGCTTGCTCTCTCACGAGCACCTGAAGAAGGAGAGAAACTCCAAAAGAGAAAACACAGTATATATCTAGAGGAACACAGCGGGCCAATCAGCA